CAATGAGATATTTACATAAAACTTTAAAAAAAGATTTTGTTAAAAAATAAAGGAAAACATTCTTAAAATCATATCTCGGAAAGTATTAATCTTACAAGGACGAATAAAAATGATGTTGTAGGAAATTCAATAGTCTTCAATTTTCATGAGTACTATTTTCTTCGTAAAAGCCAGATCCGAGATTTTTATGAAAAAAGTATGAAAAATCGATTCATTCTCGAAATGTTCAAAAATACAATATTCTTTAAAAAATTCTATCACGAAAAATATTCATATGACCTTAAAAAAAATAAAATTTTATCAGCTTTTTTTGATAATGATCTTTATTTCGATAAAATAAATACTTTCTGTTTGTGAGATATTTTTGAAAAACCGCGTTTTTTATCAGTTTTTTAAAACTGGAAAGTTTTCCAAGTTCGTTGGTGGAGGATTTTTAGTATGTTGTATACGTCATCTTGAACAACTACCTGCAAACAAATCTTTTATGACACTTTTGCAAAAAGCAAAAAAAATTTAATTTTCCTGCCTATGTTTATTTGACGATGCTTAATCTTTTCTGCTCCATCCAACCAATCAACTGGTTGTATTTTGCTCTCCAAGGAAGTATGATTCCACTTCATGTGAAAATATTTCCGGTATCAAGTTGATAAATTATTATTAAGCATGTCATTTCTTCGTCTAATCACCATTTGTACCAAAAATGATTAAAAAGTTAGCCGAAACATATATATTTATTTTTGAAAAATTAGACATATGATTATATTTTAATCACATTTATATTTATTGCACTCCTTTGACAACTAATTCCCAATAGCCGTTTTATCGTTATTAGTTTGTCATTTTCAATTCTTTGGAATATACAAAAAGTATCTTTCTTTGAACGTATACAAAAAGAAAATTATTCAATCACATTTTACGTGCGACTTTAAAAGAGAAATGCAATTAAATAATTTTTTTTATTCATATATTTATGCGTCTATGCAAGTTGTAGATATACCCTAAGGGTAACTAATTTACATAGCAGATTTTCCCCGAATTTATTATAAATTTAATTTTACGTTGTCAATATTTGCTTCTAGAAGATTAAAAAACAATCACATCTATGTCAACACAATTCATTTGTGTGGTACAATTCATTTATGTGGTTAAATTGCTCATTATAATCATATTATAGTTTATTTTTAGTTCATATAATATTATAGTTTATTTTCAAAGAAAACAGTCTATATTAATGTATTTAACCAATAATATATTAAATTTTAATCAAATTTAATACATTTTTTATGTTAAATTCTTTAATTTTATTTGTTTTAGTTAAATTAACGACATATTGAATTTGAGCAGTAAAGGATCTATATGAATGATTAAAAATGACTCAAATTGTAATTTGATGATAAATGAGTATAAACGAGAATTACTAATTTAATAATGCAGGTGTCTGTGTTAGCATAACAACCGCTAGTCTCAGGGAAGGAAAACTAGTTACAGTAGTGATCCCCGGGGTGGGTGGGTCCCAATCACCACGACACAGCGCGTCCTCGGGTTGCGGATAGAGGAAAAGCCTCGCTATCTCGGTTGAGGATAGAGGTTAGCTGCGAATAAATTGAATAAGCAGTCGCGGACAGCCGATTGGAATGGTCCTCCTGTTTGGGGGTTGGGCGTGGGTTTGATAAGCTCACACCGTGAAACGACTTTATCTAGAAACAACCAAAACTCGCCATGGATTCTTCTGGGGTAAAATTTTCCGGAGGTAAACTAGTCCCCCGTTCGGATCTCCGGGTGGGGACTACCTCGGGGAACTCATGTCGTATAAAGTCAAAACACGGGAGAGACATCAAAGTGGGTACGTGGAACGTCCGAAGTCTTTACAGACCTGGGGCGTTTCAATCGATGGTCGGGGAGGTCGAAAGGTACGGGGTAGAAGTTGTCGCGTTGCAAGAAACAAGATGGGCCGGGGAGGGTTCGCTTAATGCGGGTTCGTACACGCTTCACTATGGAGGGTCGGAGATCCATAGTCTTGGCATCGGTTTTATGATTAATAGGAAAATCTTATCCGCGGTAAAAGACATTAAATTTATAAACGAAAGATTAGGATTGCTCATTGTGCAGGGCCGATGGTACATGAAGATCGCGATAATCAACGTACACGCGCCGACGGAAGATAAAGATGGCGAAATTAAAGACGGGTTCTACGAAGAACTCGAACACCTCGTGGATCAATTACCGAACGATTACATGAAAATAGTCGTGGGAGATTTTAACGCGAAAATCGGTAAAGAGGACATTTTTAGACCAACGATCGGGCTCGAAAGTTTGCACGAGGAAAGTAACGATAACGGAGTGAGGGTAATTAACTTTGCGACCGGCAAAAATCTTATCGTCAAAAGCACGTATTTTAAACACAAAAATATCCATAAACAAACTTGGATTTCCCCGGATGGAGGCACGCGTAACCAAATTGATCACGTTCTTGCAGATAAACGGCGTCACACGAACGTACTCGATGTCAGGTCTTATAGGGGGGCGGATTGCGACTCGGATCACCTCTTTGTAATTGCCAAAATCAGGGAACGTCTTTCGCTAAACAAAACTAACGGGCAGTTGTTTGGAACTAAACGTCTAAATGTACAAGGTTTGATCGAGGGAGAAAACGGAATAAAATACGCGGTCGAAGTAACGAATAGACTCGCGGCTTCAAAGGAAATAGATGAATCGGATGATAACACGGTTGATAAACACTGGGAAAACGTACGAGACGCGATAGTAAAATCGGCGGAGGCCACGGTTGGTTTTTGTAAAAGGAACAAAAACAAGCCGTGGTTTGACGAAGAATGCGTAAAAATTGTTAAAGTACGAAACGAAGCGCGCATCACGTGGTTGGCTCAAAATACGAAGGAAACTCGGGATCAGTTTCTTAAGATTAGGCAAGAGGCTCATAATATGTTTAAAATTAAGAAGCGTCAATACTTAAAACGTAAAATTGAAGAAATAGATGAAAATTGTAAAAGCAGTAACGTACGAGGCACGTACATGGGGATAAATAATTTTAGAAAGGGATTCCAAGCTAGGACGGAAATGGTGAAAGATGAGAACGATAATTTAGTTACGGATACAACGGCAGTTTTAAACACATGGAAAAATTATTTTGATCGGTTATTGAATGTCGAATCTGAAAACGACCGGGAAATAGAGAATTTTGAGTATCACACGGCTGAACCTAGGATTAACGAACCGACAATTTCAGAAGTAGAAAGCGCGATTAAAAAATTAAAAAATCACAAAGCACCGGGTAATGACTTGATTCCGGCGGAACTGATTAAATGGGGGGGAAGTAGATTGATAGAAGAAATTCAGAAATTAATTATCTTAATATGGAATAAAGAAGCATTGCCGGAACAATGGAAAGATTCAATTATAATCCCGATTTTCAAAAAGGGGGACAAAATGAGTTGTAATAATTACCGGGGTATCTCACTTTTACCTACATGCTATAAAATTCTGTCGAATATTTTATTAATGAGGCTTGTACCATATGCAGATGAGATAATTGGAGATCATCAATGCGGCTTTAGGAGAAATAGATCGACTGCGGACCAAATCTTTACTATTCGGCAAATCTTGGAGAAAAAATGGGAATTCGACCAATCGGTACATCAACTTTACATTGATTTTAAAAAAGCGTATGATTCGATAAAACGGGAGAAAATGTATGAAATTTTAACTCGGTGGGGGATACCCAAAAAATTGGCTAACTTAGTCCAAGTTTGTTTAAAAGATACCAGAGGTAGAGTAAGAATAGGTAATCAAATGTCGGAAACTTTTAATATTCATAGCGGATTAAAGCAGGGGGATGCATTGTCACCTCTTCTGTTTAATCTAGTATTGGAATATGCTATTAAAGAAATGCAGAAGAGTAATGATGGTTTGCAGTTGAACGGTACAACACAAATATTAACATATGCGGACGATATTGCTTTGTTGGGAGATAATAAAGAAACACTAATAAATAACGCTAAAATTCTATTAGATAAAACGAAAGAACTGGGGCTGCAAATAAACGTTGAAAAAACTAAATATATGGTCACTGATAGAATTCAGAATATTCATAATAACGGAAACCTGGTCGTCTGTGATAAAATTTTTGAACGGGTTAGCAATTTTAAGTATTTAGGATCGATTTTAAACCAAACTAATGAAATAAGAGAAGAGCTCAAGAGAAGAATTAATTTGGGGAATGCGTGCTTCTATTCGGTTAAGAAACTACTCGGTTCGCGGATATTGTCTAGGCGCTTAAAAATTAGAATTTACAGAACGATTATTTTACCGGTAGTCCTTTATGGCAGCGAAGCGTGGTCACTTACATTACAAGACGAGAAAAGATTTAGGGCTTTCGAAAATAAAGTACTTCGAAAAATCATCGGGGCAAAACGCGATGAGGAAACGGGCGAATGGAGAAAATTACACAACGCAGAATTACATCAATTATATAATAGTCCGGATATTATTAATGTCATAAAATCGCGTCGATTAAGATGGGCAGGTCACGCGGCGCGTATGGATGAGAATCGAATTGCATATAAAGTACTAATTGGTAAACCGGATGGGAAAAGACCATTGGGTAGACCAAGACGTAGATGGGAAGAAAATATTAGAATGGACCTTAACGAAATGGGGTACGAGGGTCACAAATGGAGGGATCTGACTCAGGGACGGGAACAGTGGCGGGATTTGCGGCAATGAGCTTTCGAGTTCCTGACGCCTAATAATAATAATAATAATAATAATAATGCAGGTGTATCGTTTACGCTATAAAAGACTAAGCAACTCTCGAACATTCCCGAATTAATAATAATACAAAAAAATTTTTGTATAAAGTAGTGAATTTATATTTAATAATGTATAATTTTGTTTTATATTAATTTAATACAATGAAAAATTATTTGATACACGACGAATTTATGGATCAGTTGTAATTCACCGCGTTTTATCGTGCGTTGCAGCTGACAGAACTCTTGATAGTAACGTGGTGCTCAATAACCGTGGCTCGATCAAAAACCGTAGAAAGCAATCAGGAGACGTTACTGAAGAAGGCCGCGGAACAGCTGGAACGGTTAGAACCGTATCGAAGAGCTACGGATAATCACGACGAATCCAATTTCTCAAATGTGCCAGAAACATGGAAACCTCTGGTGGATCAGAATCAGTTAGATGAGATAAAGGACGATGTGGATCAGAATGTGTCTTGGGAGATGTCCGAGATTCTACCCGAACAAACGGAGCCGGACTCATTAAAGCGGATCGACGACAAAAAGCTAATAACTATCAGCGTTATTACCGATCCAAGATACGCCGAATTGATGCAAAATAGGATAAAAAGAGGTTACGATGTTGGATCCACCAGTCTTCTGACCAGCATAGCAGGCGGAGTGTTAACTGGAATCGCTAGTGCATCAAGCGGCTCTGCAGCAAAAGCATCAGCGGGCAGCAGCGAAACGGCGTATAAACCGGTGTACGGTGCACCTACAGTGGAACATGCTTATTCGGTAATCGATACTTTTATTCAAGCATTGACTGAGAGAAAAGTATTTATTACGTATTTGTAATTGTATAATACAATAATTATAATTGTATAATACAATAATTATGATTAGAAGTTCTATTTTTATAGTTACTATATACTGCTATGATGTTATAACACAGAAGTAATAACACAGTACGACAAAAATCGATTTTTTTCCTCCTATGAAAAAAATCATAGAGATTCTGAAAGTAGATGTAAAAAAATATCCGTATCTTGGCGTTTTACCAGATCAAGTCGTTTTTTAAGTATCATCAAATGTCTTTTTATAATACTGTACAACACAGATTTCCTCCTATGAAAAATTCAAAGAGATTCTGAAAGTAGATGTTAGGAAAGCATACCTGTGTCTCGATATTGACTTACTTGATAGCCGTCATCGAAAATTTTCTGGGCAATAAAAAAGCTGACAATTACAAAAAAATTGTTGTTGAAATGATTTCGGTTTCTTTTCGTATAATGAAAGTTAAAAATACACTTGTCGCTCAAAATACACTTTCTTCACAACCATTTGGATTTTTTTCTACCAAATTTGGATGAATTCAATAATGAACGCTTTCACCAAAACATTGCGATCATTGAAAAACGCTTCAAAGAAAAAGACATCATGCATCAAATACATGCTTGGTGAATACTGTTGGTCTATTGTTCGTGATACAAAACCGGAATCATACAAACGGCAAATCAAACGACCAAGATTCTTATAACAATTATAATTGTAATTGTATTATTATTATTATTAAACAAAAATTTGAAAATATTGTATATAAACAAAATTCTTAATTTTTTTTTTTATATTCAGACTCATCGCATAATTTCACATGCAAAAATGTCAATTATTTATTTTAAAAAATTATTATATATTTTAAAACAATTGTAAAAAGCTAATATGAAGCAAATACGATAAATGGCTGCATAAAAAATGTTAACGACTTAATCTGGTAAAACGACGAGACAGGGGTATTTTTTTTTTACATCTATTTTCAGAATCTCTTTGATTTTTTCACGAGAAGGAATGTGTGTTGTACTGTGTAATAATTATATTTTATAATTCTATATGAAAAAAGTATTGTGTAACTGGTATAATTCATAGTCGTTTTTAGTACCAATTTTTTTTTTAATATAGAATGTAGAATGTAAATGCTTTTGTATAAAATATAGAAAATAATTGCAGTGAATATAATGATATAAAATAAATATAATTATTACTAATATTATAAAGTAATATAAACTATAAAGAAATAGATGATCCTAATCATATATAATAATTATTTTTAATTAAAGAGAATTTCTACATTCGGTCAAAGCGGATCTTATTACTAGTTCTTAAATGTTTCTGTGTGAATTTATATACATATCTGATTCTGCAAACTGCACGCCGAAATCTTTTTCAGTTTTAAAACACAATTTCTTTAACAATTTAAATAATTATTTTACTATATGATTATAATTACAAATCAGAACACTTATCTTTCAGTGCGCGATGAATTTTAATGTCGTGCACTTTGTATTCGTATTTATTTGAATGGAGTAAATTTTATTACAATAATACAGATGTTACGAAAAAAATAAAATAGCAGTATAGAGAAAATTAAATTTTTATACAAAGATTAAAAAGAGAGAGAAACTAATTAATTAGTATACTTTGCAATTGCAAAGAGAAAAGTTGTTATTTATGCTGAAACCATGTAGGTCATCCACATTGCCGCAAAGGAGCGAAATCTCAACTGGTTCTTCATACACTGTTTACCTTTTCCATTATCCGTGCTCCTAATTGCTTAGTGATTATCTAGATTTTTCTCTTTTGATATCGCGATATGTCCTGCATAGCAATTAAAGTAAATGATACAGCGAAGTGAAAATCGTGGTGCGTGTCAAGCTATTATATTACCTAACGAGCAATTTAATACATCAATTAGAAACTAAATGAGAAAGGATGTCAATGGACAGAGATGAAAAAGATGTATCACTTCCGCTATTTCAACATTTATGTTTATTTTCTTACGCAATAAATTACAACCTAATGTTGTAATGTAATTTTACTTTGATCTCATTATTTTTTTCAGTACGAAGAAAAGCCATTCGGTCCATGGGATTTCAAGAAGGTGATATTTAGTACACTGTTTCAAGCTCTCAAGGCAATAGGTGGCGGCGTATTGGCCCTCAAAGGTCAATTAGTTAAAGGAGGTGGCTACCTGTTAGCGGGTAAAGGCAAAGTTGTCAGTAAAGCAGGAGATGTTATTACATCCTTCGGTAAACACTTGGCCGCCAACGCGCAATCGAAACCTTATCCGCCAGAGACTTTCTACGATCATCCACCGGTTCAACATATCGGTAAATTAGAGATAAAAATTACCCAAAAAAAACTCAGTAAAAATATCAATAAAAAGTCAGTTTTTTTACTTCGGCCCTAAAAAATTTTTAGGATTGGAATAAAAATCTGACTTTTTAAGGTTTTTTAAAGTTGTTTAGGACTGATTATGTATAATATCTTCTTTGAACATTTACCATATTATTGTTCATTCAATTTTTGTATTTATTCAAAAGATTTCTGTATAAAGATATGAGATCTCTTCCAAAAGTATTCAATCTTTGCCTATATTATAAGAAAAAAACTACTCCAGAGAAATATAGACAATGTCGCCTACAGAATAGTCTCCTTTCGAAGCAATGATCTTCTTTCAGTGATCCATCCAGTTCCGGAAGTAGTCCCAAAAATCATTTTTTATGTAACCAGCAGCTTCTTTGTCGCATTTCGTTTTATTTCTTTAACATCATCAAATCTTTTGCTTTTTAACGGATTTTTCAACTTGGGAAATAACCCTTGGGTAAGTGATATGGAGCTACTTCTAGATTGTACGGAAGTTGGACAATCTGTGTTCAATCAAAAAATTCTGAATCAAGTCCTGAATCCATGAATGGATAGGTTATCATGGATACAGCTATCATGGTGTAGAAGTCAATTTCCACTTTTCCACAAATTTCCGTTTCTTCTTCACTGCGTCGCGCAATCGTTTAAGAACTTTCAAGTAATACTTTTTGTTTATTGTGCAACTTTAAGGAACACATTCGTGATGTATATCTTTCTCGAAAAAAAAACGATGAATATTGCCTTCACATTGCTTCGATCGACGCGATTTCTTGGGTTGGGACTCTTTTTTCATTGTAAAGATTGTTTCAAGGTCATAACCTATATTTCATTGCCAGTAATAACCATTTTGAGCAACTCACACACATAGAATCTTTTTTGATGAATTCCAGGATGTTTTCGACAACTTCAATTTTTTGCTGGAGTACTCGTAGAACAAATTTTGCACACACGTGATTCATTTCCAGATTTTCAGTCAAAATTCGCGAAACAATAGTTTTTGAGATTGCAAAGTTCTCTTCTAACTCTCGTACAGTCAAACGACGATTTTCTTTGATTGTTCCACGTTTTCAGATGTTCTTTACGTTGAAGATCTGCTGGAACGAGAATCACTATACATTGAGACATGGTCTGCGTATGTTTGAACTGTCTAAACCATTCTTTTATTTGTATTGTATTGTATATTGTATCATTCATAGAGTCATTATCATCATGCCGATTGTCTAGGAATATATGTGGCCAAATTTTTGGCAAAATTTAATACAAGTTCTCTGTTGGACTCGTTCAGTCATAGTAAAACGTGTGCTAGCAGTTTTCAACTATTTTCGACGCTCACACAACTGCGTACACCGTTGCCGACTAAACAGCATGTATACGTCATGCTGCTTGATAGGGATACTCCTTGATGTTTCCCCTAATTATTGAATATCTGTTTATCACGAGAGAAAGAGAGAGAGAGAGAGAGAGAGAGAGAGGGGAGGGGGGAGAATTGATAAAGATATACGCAAGTCGAATACTTCTGAGACAGATCTTGTAAACGTAAACAATGAAAAAATATAGTACAATCACCAATTATAAGTAGTAATGATCATGGATATACGAGGTCTGTTCAAAAAGTATCACGAATTTTGTGTTTTTTCAAAAATTATTTATTTATTCATGAATATCTATTTTGTCCCTTTCAAAGTAATCCCCATCAGATATTATACACTTGTGCCAACGTTTTTTCCAATCCTCGAAGCACTTCAAAAAATTATTTTTTGTGATCTTGTTCAGCTCCTCCTTCGATGCCGTCTTTATCTCCTCAATCGTAGCGTAGCGTCGTCCTTTCATGGGCCTCTTCAGTTTCGGGAACAAGAAAAAGTCACA